GTTCGACCATTGGTCTGACAGTAAACCATTGAACCGGTAACTTCACCAGTTCAATGATCGGTCCGATTTTGACAAGCTTGACTTTTAGTTTAGAACACTTCTTTCCTACTTCATGAGATAGATTGTAATGTAATGCTAGTTTGGTCTTGTATCTTCTTTGAGATAGACTTTTCTGAAAAAAATAAAATAAAAAATAAAAGGCCCTCTTAATCCAACGGCTCTTATTAATCCTCAACGGAATCGTACCTGGACGGCACTATAGGAGGCCCTTTTTCTAAAATTTATGTCTAATATCACCATAAAATTACGCCAAGGGNNNNAAATGCGCTGCCCTTACTGCTCCGCTGGGCAGGGCCGCTGCGCCACCACTTCCGCCGGCCGAACCATAACCGAGTGCGCCTCTTGCGGCCGCGTGGTGGAGGAGCGGCAGACGCTGCCCCACCACCTCTTCCACCTCCGCGCACAGGATTCCCCTCTCTGCCTCGTCACCTCCGACCTCCCCGCGGCTCCGGCCGCGCCCCGGGACGACGACGCGGAGGACCCCTTCGAGCCCACCGGTTTCATTACCGCCTTCTCCACGTGGTCTCTCGAGCCGCACCCGGTCTTCGCCCACGCGTCGATTTCCTTCGCTGGGCACCTGGCGGAGCTGGAGCGGGTTCTCGAGACGACGTCATCGCAGGGAAGCGCCTCGGGGCCGTCGGTGGTGGTGGACAATCTGAGGGCTTACCTTCAGATAATCGACGTGGCCTCCATCCTCGGGCTCGATTGTGATATCTCGGACCACGCGTTTCAGCTCTTTAGGGATTGCTCCTCCGCCACGTGTTTGAGGAACCGTAGCGTGGAGGCGTTGGCTACGGCTGCTTTAGTTCAAGCCATTCGAGAAGCTCAAGAACCCAGGACTCTTCAGGTATTGAATTACTTGCAACTGTGTAGTTATTTGTTCATTTATTATTCTTCTTGTTTACTGATTTGTGTGTAATTGTGCTATTTAAGCTATCATGGTAGCTCAATGAACTCATTTTAGTGCGATGCATTTTGGTAAGCAGCACTTGATTTCTAAGAGTAAAATTATATGCAGTAATTGCATACAGATTGGTGTGGAATTGTGCTATTTTCAGATTCCAGATAGCTCATATGAACTTTATAAGTGTTGGGAAATTTCTGCTTTCTTTCTTTTCCCTTTCTTTTGGCTGTGTGTGTTGTAGAAAGTTGCTTATGAATTGGCAGCCTCCTCCAGGCTGCATTTGATAATATGGGAAAGAAACTTAGAAAAAGAAGTCAGTAGCATGTGAAATTTGAGTGTAGATTGTCTGTTATGAACTAAAAAAATCGACACTTAGCTTGCAATACTAAAATGAGTTGAAGAGGGTGAAAGAAATATAAGATGTTACAAGGCTGATCATCAATTGTTATAACATGTATATGATTCTAAAGATGGCATTTCCTGAGAGAGATGTTCAAACTGGTTATCTTTGAAGAAATTATTGTATTTATGAACAATCAATTTTTAAGTTCAACATTCGTTTGCAATAAAAAAAACAACCCTATGACTGCATCTGAATGAATGAAACCGATTGGTAAACCTCTTTTACATTGTCCACCCATCTGGTAACATATTTTGGTTGTTCACCATTTTGTTTCCTTAACCGACTCCGATCTCATCTGTTCTAACCACTTTGAGGTTCATTTAGGCAATTAACTCTCAGGTGTTGCTGCTTAAGTTATGGCATTAGTGGTATCAAAAGAGAAAGAAGACCAGTTTGTTATACTGCACCTTAGTATGACTGATCACAATAAAGCATTTATTTTTCTTGTTGTGTGAGTTTCTCTCTCTCTCTCTCTCTCTCTCTCTCTCTCTAATTTGGGTGTGAAATTTATGGGATCAGAAGTTGATTTGTTCAAGGTGGTTTCTTTTCTTTTTCTCATTTGTGTGTGCGTGTGTAGGGACTGTGGTGGGTGTAGGTTTAATTTTCGGTAGTGTGTGTGGTTGCTTTTGGAAGAATAATAGCTATGTTATATGGAACCTTGAGTTTGGAAGGATACTGAAATCTCTCATATTTGCTTGTCACCCTTATATCTCATCCTCTTACTAAGTTGGTTATGAAAAAAGAAGTATTGAAACCTATTTGCTTGTCACGCTTCAAACCATCCTCTTTTACTAATTTGGGTCCTATGAAAAAAGTGCTCGATTTCAATTTATTATTATTATTATTATTTATTTTGAATTTCGCAATGCAGCATCTGATAAGTTGTGTGACCATAGTGTATCCAGGTTCAACCATAATACTGCTGGGTAATCATATTACACGCTAGAGCACTAAAGATACATCGCGCTCTACATATTTCCTAACAATCCCCCTGAATTTTTTAACTTGTGGATCCCTTCTTTCTTCATTACCAGGAAATATCGATTGCTGCCAACCTACCACAAAAAGAGATAGGAAAGTACATCAAGATCCTAGGAGAAGCACTACAACTGAGCCAACCCATCAACAGCAACTCAATCTCCGTCCACATGCCCAGATTCTGCACACTTCTCCAACTCAACAAATCCGCTCAGGTACCCCACCCCATCCACAAAATGTCCATCTATGGGCGTGTTTGTATATAAATATATCCGTACAAAATGAGTTTTTTTTTTATTAACCATGATTAATTTTGAAAATAGTGGTATGATTAGTTGTTAGTGGAATTTTATGTTTATATTAAAATAGTATCTAAAATAAAATATTTAAAGCTGATTTGATGTAAAAGTAGGAGATGATATAAAGTGATGGTCAGTTAAAATCATGTGAGTAGATGAATAATGAATTAAGGTTAAGTGAATTAAGGTTAAGGTTGATATGATGTGTAAGAATGATTGGTTAATATTATTCAATTATATTGATAATATTGAGGGTAGTGGGGTTGAGTTAGAGTTGAGTTAGATTTTGAGTATAAATTGAATATGGACTGTGTTTTTTTATATGCAAACATACCCTAACAAATTCCAAAACGGGCCCACTTTTTTTTGTTAGTTAAAATCACGTGAGCAGATGAATAGTGAATTAAGGTTGATATGATGTGTAAGAATGAGTGGTTAATATTATTCAATTATTTTGATAATATTGAGGATAGTGGGGCTGAGTTGGAGTTGAGTCAGATTTTGAGTATAAATTTGAATATGGATTGTGTTTTTTTATATGCAAACACACCCTAACAAATTCCAAAACGAGCCCACTTTTTTTCTTTTTCTTTCCTCAAAATTCTCTCCTCAGGAGCTGGCAACCCACATCGGGGACGTCGTTATCAACAAGTGCTTCTGCACACGGCGCAACCCAATAAGCATATCGGCAGCTGCAATCTACCTGGCGTGCCAGCTGGAGGACAAGCGCAAGACCCAGGCCGAGATCTGCAAAGTGACGGGCCTTACTGAGGTCACCCTCCGTAAGGTCTACAAGGAGCTTCTCGAGAACTGGGACGACCTTCGCCCCTCCAACTACAGCCCCATAATCCCTCCTGAGAAGGCTTTCCACACAGCTGTCATCTCCTCCTCGGGTGCTGCCGGACGAGCGTCTTCCAAATGTGATCCTCCGGCTGAGGCCAAAACGGCGCCGCCTTTCTGGAAGGTTCCGGGTTTTTCCGAGTGCTCGTCTCAGGATGTGGAGATGGATTTGGAGTGCAAGAATAGGGTGGATGTGAATGCGAATGCGAATGCGGGAGGTGGGTCGGGTCACGGGAGGCAGGTTGTTGGGGGAGGTATGGTGCCGTGGCCGTTTAGGGCGGCGGCAAGAGGGGGGGATAGAGGGCATTTGGGGCAGGATTTGAATGAGAAGATGGGTTAGTGTGAGTGTTTTATGTGGGGTGTGGGTGGCTGAGGTGGCGGTTGTCCGCCGTGGATTGGGAAATTAGTGTAGTTCAGTAACTGGGGTCTGGGGTTTCTCGTTAATGTGGGTTTTGAAAATGTTGTGTAAATTGGAAATGCTGTGTGTGTATTGTATTAGACCATCTGGAATGGAAAAAAAAAAATCATTTTCAAATCAATTGTGTGTGTATTGTATTAGACCATCTCGAATGGAAAAAATCATTTTCAAATCAATTTTGTAATTTCAAATCAATTTTGTAATTTCACATCAAATAGTAATTATTCTCCAACCAAAACACTTGTTCGCAAACTTGTATCAACTTTTATAATTTTTCAATATTACCTACATATTTAATAAATTTACAAATTTATCTAATATTATTTCATATTTGATTAATAATAATAACAACAATAATAGTAACATCAGGTTATAGATTGATAATATTGCACATGCAAATATTGATATACATATTTGTTCAATAAGCCAAAATTAAAAAAAAAAATTATATGATGATGCGCGAAAATCGTTATAGTTTAGATGACAAAAAACTCTTTTCCCAAATTTATATAACACTTGAAGTAATAAATTTTGAAGTTTAAATAATAAAAATATAATTTTGGCTTATTGAACAAATATTTTAAATTTATTATCAATGTTGAGAAATTACTTCAAGTGTTATATAACTTTGGGAAAAAAGTTTTTTTTTTTTCATCTAAACTATAACGATTTTCGCGCATCACCATATAATTTTGTTTTTACAAACCATCACCTGAACTACACGGGTTTATCAAATTGCTTCCTAAACTGGATATAAAAGTAGTTTTGACTAAACAAAGCTAATTTTAAGGACATTTCAGTAATTTTATATATTTTAGAAAAAATGGAAAAATGAAAAAAAATGAAGAACAAAACCAACTTGTGGAAGAAAAAATGGCACCAGACATGAGCGGACAATCGCTGGCTGTTCGCATCCCACTATGGAAAACTCAGCACCATGGAGTGTCTTGTGGAAGAGAGTCGTTGTCGTAGTACAACCGCCGCTCGCCACACGCAGCCGACAGAGGGCATCGCCGTCGTAGTGCGGCTGTCAACACGTACATGGTGAGATAATATGTATTCATCCATCTCCATCTATGCTCAATCGAGCATTCATCTATGCTCGGGAGCGGACTCTTCGCCTTCTTAATGGCTGTCAGAGACGTGATCGGCTATGCCACTAGAGTCGCTGACGACCTCCACCACTGCCTCTCGTTTGTATTGAAAATCGACGCGTGCGACGAGAGCTGCGCGTACATTAAGGCGTGCTTCATTCTGCACGTCGGGCTCGTCGGGGAGGAGCCACTCGACCGTGAGGATTTGCAGCAGCATGACCTCGATCGAGTAGATGTTAGAAATCATGGCCGAAGGTAGGCGGCGATTTCAAATAGTCGGGCTAGTGAGCGGATGATGGGCTGGTCGAAGGCCGACACATTGAACGTCGAACTGTTGCTACCTAATCGGGCGTCGGAGGTGGCTGTGCGAGATGTCTGTGGGTTGAGTGTTAGGATGAGGCTGCGAGCGAGGTGCGGGCAATGACAAGCATTGATGATCGGAGGTGCGACTGTTGTTGCGAGGAAGGTGACCGGAATGTTGAACATACAATAAAAGTAAGGTCGTGAGGTTCGACCAACATGTTTCTGGTCGATGTTTAGCGCCAGTCGTCTGCGCTGATGGCTGAAGGTTGGTTGTAGAGGATCGACCGAAGACGTGTTTGTGCGCGATTGTATTTTTCAGCATTTTTCGGTTGAAGGCAATTGTTGGATGCCACGGCGACGTGCTGGCCAGTTTCTAGTTGGTTGTCGGGCTGCTTGGACACACAAACATAAGATTGCAGGCTGTCCATTGGTGGTTGTACTCTGGACATGGGTAACTGAACGTGGATGGTTGAATTGGGATCTCCAGACATGGGTCACTGAACATGAATGGCTAAACTGGTCGGCATGAAGGTGTTGGCCAGAGAGTTCAGCGGACTTCATCGCTGAACTGGTTGGCGTGAAGGTGTTGGCTAGAGATTTTGACAGAGTGTATATACATGCGGTTGTGTGTATAGGCTATAATCATGAGGCTGTCGGGAAAAATCAGGTTTTTTTAATAAAATATATGAAATTGTTGAAATGCCCTAAAAATCAGCGCTTTTTAGTCAAAACCACTTTTATATCCAGTTTAAGGGGCAATTTGACAAACTCGTGTAGTTCAGGTGGTGGTTTGCAAAAAAAAAA